GAATTAAGAGCTATCAATTTTAACATTTATTAAACTTTAAAAAATAGCAACTTCTAATTTAAGTGAACTTAAAACAATCTTCACATAAACCCATTATAATAAATGGTCATATTTACCTGTGTCCTTCAGCAAGTAGGAAACATACAGAAATTGAATAAAGTTATCAAACACTAAATTCTAAATTAAATATAGATGAAAGCTTAAAGCTACAAAAGTTATTGATTTCCTGGTTTTTTTTTTCTTTTGTTCTTTGATTAACAGACATCACAGCAGCTGGGTTGCTGCTTTAAGAGTTGCCGCTGCTAAACATCACGCATCTTTAATCGCCTTTTTGGTAACTTCATGACTTAACTGATGACATAACTACGACATTGCATGCTCGTAGGTTTATTTGCACTTTAATGTGGAATTATATACAGCGAGCCATACTGCATTTGTGCGTGCAATTGAAGAGCACGTGCTACGAGCACAGTATAACGGCTGACAGGACAGGAAAATTTGTTTTTACTGACATATGACCTGACAACATCTCATCTGACCGCAGTTCACTGTTGTTCTGCTGATGCTCCGTCGTCACCTGTACCTTTTCCACGCTCGTTTGACTAGCGCCTGAGGTGAAGTTGGAGTGCGCATCTGAAAAGTCTCCCATTTGATGTGGTTGTAAAGACGTTCTGCGTCTAAATAAATGCAATTCTTCTCAAGAAAAAAAAAAAGAGACAGAAGCAGCAGTTGTGAGTGGGGTGGCCAACCTTAGCTCCACCCCTGCGTTAATTGTGTTAAATATTTTTAAAGCGTTAAACTGAAAAATAATTAAATCGCATGCGTTAACGTGCCAATTTCGACAGCACTAATATATATGTGTGTGTGTGTGTGTGTGTATGTAATAGAATAATAAATAATAATAATTAAATTAAAACATTTTAAAGAAATAAAAAGCTACACCACTTTGAAAGCAGCTGAAGTACTGTCACAGTACTTAATAAAGTAGTTAAGTTGGTAGTATGGCTATTTTTAATTAGTTAATCCCCAACACTGTCTGTGAGTCCATTAGAGGCTCCACTGACCTTTGAGATGAGCTCATCGTGATTGGCGAGATGTGCCCGGCAGTGGATGCAGCTGTAGGTTCGGTGACAGTTGGGCAGGTAGGCCTGGAAGGTCTTGGACTTTGTCATTTTTACCATCTCACAGTCGTGATGCTCCTCACTGGGTTCCTCTGGGCTGGCGCTAGACGAGTTGCAGCTCTGCTGAACTTGCTGACAGAAGAAACACTGGAAGATGCAAGCAAAAGCCGTCGTTGTTGTGGAGTGGATGTGTGGCACGCTCCACACAGACACCACAGGAGAAAATACAACCTGGAAAAAAAGGGAAAGGAAAAGGAAAATGCCTTTTTATTATAGTGCACAAGTTATATGTACCACTTTTATGATACTTTTGCATCCTTTTTGAAGCTTGAAACTGCATGGAAAGACTAACCATTAAATGACATTTTCCATTTGTAGGTTGAACCTATATATGCATTTAGCAGATACTTTTATCCAAAGTGTTGGACAATTGCATTCAATACATCTTTATTTAACATAAAAATCTATTTATTATTTTTGTTTTGTGAGTTTGTAATATTGTGAACATTTATTGTTTTAAATAAAGGTGTATTTAAATTCAAATTCTCTCTCTCGTGCTCTCTCTCTCTTGCTCTCTCGCTCGCTCTCTCGCTCTCTCTTTCGTGCTCTCTCTCTCTCTCTCTCTCTCTCTCTCTCTCTCTCTCTCTCTC